TAACATATTGTATAGCAATTTATGATTTATCGCAGTTTTAAAGGCTTATAACAGTTTGTAACAAGTATTTATAATAAAATATCAGATTCATTTTTTATTTAATTACAAGTATATCAGGATTTAGCAGAAAGTGCTGTACATATTCACATGCATGCAAATCAGTTTGTAGATCTCTGGAGTTTTTCCAATATATTATAATTTGGTTAAATTAGTTCTGAGATAATATAATAGCAAAATTATTCTCAGAATACATGATGTATATCATATTACAGGAATCCATTCTGGCTTCCTGCCAGTTCCATAACACTCTTCAGGAACTATCATAATGCTGAGATATTTCTCAAATCATGGGATGACCGCTAAATATTTGAAGTATAAGATGATCCAATACAGGCTATGTAGATTTCTTGTGATTAACAGGAATTAGTTAGACACTTCGCATGATGTATATCATATTCAGGAGTGATTAGCATGCAGATTTATTCGAAAAAAGATAACTTATCCTGGGCAGATATATTATATACTATACTTATGAAAAAGTTTGGAATGATATAATAATTGTGAAGACTCTTCTCACTTCCAACCAATAGAAGTGGGATCTACCAGCTAATTATATGATAAAATATTTCTGGTGAGTCCTACAATAAAGTAACATCACACTACTCACATATAGCATACATTTGGTTAAAATGATTCGCAAACTAACTTTATTTATTAATCATAAGAAATAATAGCTATTATGAAAAAATTGCTATAGAATGTGACCCAAGGTCACAACATCACGTGTATGATGCAATAAACTTAATCTATCTTCCTATGAATACAAACCTAATCAATATTTTGTCAATTTCGTCTTAGTCTAATTTTGATATTGCCGATGCTGTAAAGGATTTAATCCTCTGAATCTTATCTTCACCAATTGCATTGAATAGCTCAAAAATTTTACGAAACCTTTCTTTTTTCTTCCTAAATGCATTATCACTTATAGTATGAGGGAGTTATTTATGAACTTTATTATTAACCAATGCCTGAGCAGTACAATTAGGATTATCTTTCTTGTAATGATTAAAGCAATCATCAAGTGCTTTTCTAAAATTAAAATATGATTTAAGAACATATTGATTCACATTCTCTGTTCATTCTTTCATCTTAATGATAGCATCAAATAAAATGAAGAAATTCCCAGTACCACCTTCTATAACTTCTTTATCCTGAGCGTTTCAAAGGATAATTCCTCAATCATTTTTTTCAACTTTGGGGAGTTGTTTCTATTAACTAACTTTTTGGTCTTTTTATTAGAGGTTTTATCAATAGACTCATTGACACACTTTTACTGATAGGGATCTGGAAATAATGGTGATTCATTATATAGTGATAGAGATATATCCATTAAATTATTATACTCTTTCTGCTTTTCGGATGAATTGATAACTGCTGATTCTACCTCCTTCTTACAATCAGAACTTGGACATGATGGACTTATTTTTATAGACGCTTTCTGCAACCTTTTCGGGAGATATATTATTTAAAATATTTAACGCAAGAGTTTTAAGATAAGAAATATTAGACATAGCAATACTTCGTTACATATTTTTACTGAATATGTATTATTTTTATTTATTAGGAACTTATACAGTCTTCTGATCATTGAGAAAGTAATAGTCAATTAATTTGCTGATCTCAAATGAAATAATGTTCTGAACTTGACCTACATTAGTATGGGTGATTGTCACAAAACATGAAACAAATATGGTAACTTTAATATTCTCCTTCTGGTCATATTAAGAAAAAAAATAATCGATTAATAATCACTGGATCAGATTCCTGAATAACTTCACAGTTTGGGATAATTGAACACGCTAACAATCATGTCTTCCTTTATATTCTTGACAGTAATAAAGTCAGTTATCTTATTATATATGTGATCATATTTGACTAGATTGCATGGGGTTAGTAGTGAACTTACTGCGGTCTTGCATCTATTATTTCTAGATTTCTTAGTCATAATTAGATAGACTGACTGATTTATATGTTAGGCTAACTTCTGAAGAAGTCTTTCTTTATACACTTTACTTTAAAAATCTTCTTTTTTTTTCTGGATTATGTATTACATAATCATAATCTGAATCAGATAAAATCTCTTCGCTGAATTCTAAACCAGTCTGCTCTTCTACATAATTTCCTATCCAGTCTACAATTCGTTCTAGCTTTTAACCTTCTTTTTAAACTCGGATAGATAAGAGTAAGAAAATAATGTATCTAAATGATTATTTATATCATCTAGCCTTTTCTCTAGCACTTTGATTTTTATAGAAACTAATGTATTTTTGAGTGATCTCATTTTAGTATTATTTTTACAACTGTATAATTTTTGTATTAGAAAAAAAAATATATAATAATAACACTTCTGAGCATCTTGTCACTCAATCATGCTAGGTTTACATGATTTTGGCAAGAAAATTTTACCTTCAGAAGGATTGATCCATTTCAATTAATCTGATTAGAAGACATGCCTTGATAATTATTTTACGCAATTCTAACTCTCATGCTAATCTATCCAATGTCAATTTTAGTCTAATTATATATACCTCTTGCTTGTCTTCAGGTTTAACACCATTTTGGAAAACCTTTTTTATATTTTTACTTGTACTATCTATAATGTCCTCTAGACCAATTATTTCAGTTGCCATTTTTGTATGTTTCTACTATAGCAATAGAAAAAAACTTTAATTAATGGAAATATATTCCTTAGAATTTTTTATCCGAAAAAATATTTGTTATAAATCATCTATATCTGCTTCCTTTAGGGTCCCTTGATACAAAGCTTAGCTTTCATAGCCTTTTCTTCTGCTTCTTCAGGAAATATTTCAGATGATATCAGGTGTTTATATAATCCAATTTACCAATGACCATATGGGAGGATTCAAATTCCATCAAACAAAATCCAGCACTTATTATCATATAGATTTAATCCTATCTTATTTACTCTTTTCAGATATATTTGATAATCATAACTGCAGAGACATTACATATCATGTCGGGTTAGCTTTCTACCTCTAAGGCATTCTAGAAATTTATCATGTCAAAGCTCCTTTTTAATCATGCATTTCTTAACACCTTTGCCTTTTGGATGCCATGCTTCTTTTTTGGATCTTCAGAATCTGGGTCATCGGGAGTTTTAGGATCATGACCTGCTGGAAGAACTGAGTATATTTTTGGCTTTAAACATATTGATTCGCCTATTGGATTTCTCTTTGTCTCATTCTTCATTAAAAATAAGTCTCCTAAATAGTTAAAATCAAAAATATCTGATCTTTCTACTCAATCTTTATATATGTCTTCAGTTTCTATTCATATAATGAGTGAGTTTGTATCCATATAAAGTAGACAGGCCTTATCTCTATAACGAGGCTTTATATAACTGTACCAAAAGTTGAATATCATAGCCTTACTAATGTCAAGAATTGCCTATCTTACACAGATTAGTTTGTTTAGAGTTACTACATATAATGGTGAACTTGCTAAACGCTTGATTTTTTTATCCTCTTCTGTTTGAAACAATTCTACTCTTATATGTTTAAGGACATTTTCCATCTGTTTACCAAATACTACATTGTTCTTTAGCTTATAATACATGACTCCAAATTCATCACCAGTTGCCTTGGCTATTTTGCATTTACGAATATTTTCCTCAATATATTCCTTCATCTATGGAGATTGCTGGAATTTTAGAACACTATGAACCTTTGTAATTTTCAATCCAAATTTTATTTATATCTGGAGAGTTCAATAGTGAACTACATAATTCTTCTTAGTATAAAGAGTCTGAAGTAACTTCTCTCCAGACACATATTTTCCATCTCTAACTGCCTTGTCACGTATTAATCTTTCATTATACAAGCTAAGCCAGTTTTCTGGCACAATTTGCTTTTCTAACGCTAAAGAATAATCTGCAAAGAAATCATGTAAGTGTATTGGAATTTCTAGATACACTTCAGGTAAATAGCCTATTTCTACATAATGTGCAATGCTTTAAATATTAAAAATCTCCTCTGGACCTAATATTTCCGTAGGCATGTATTGGGTCATTGCATCTGAATATAAAGCATTCATATCCTCATATAGGGTCCAAGACTTTGGTTTGTTAGGATCATAGTCAGGACATTTTGGATTATTTGCTTTGGCATATCAATGACTCACCATTGTCAGTCCTTCACGAATGCCCTTTTCTATTGTTAGATATTCATTCATATTTGTCATGACCTTGAATTCTACCCTGCTACTTTTGTAAGAGAATTATTAAACATTCCAGGTGCTGAGACATAATGAGAGGCATCTAAGCCATCATCTTTGAGGCACATGATTGTGTAATTTCATAAACATATCGGCAAGCAAAAGTACATCAGTTTCAAGGTAAAAGTCATGGTATTCTCTGAAGTTTTCATCTTGAATGTTTGCCATACTTTTTGCGCATGTTCATAGTTACCCTTACTTATATTTTGCTGACTAAGAAGCGAATAGAAATCCTTCTAGAAGAAAGGCTTGTTCTGTCGAATTTTCCCATGCATTTGTTCAGTCATATGAAAAGATTCCTTTTCAGAATAGAAGCTTGATCTTATCCATTGAATAGCCTTTCTCGATAAAGTGCTTGATAGTTAAGGGAAATTTTTCGAGCTTTCCTCCTAACATTCAACTAATTTATCTAGTCCCATTCCCATATGCTGAAAGCTATCTAAGAACCGAAGCTGTCCAACATCCATTGCTTTATACTTTCCTATATTTTTTGGAATGCATTTTAGCTTATCAGCTGTAAACTTGCTCACAACTTTCATGAGTGGATGAGAGTTATATTCTCAAAAATTATGGCAGATCAAAGATACTTTTGTCTCAAATAATCCTATTCGTAACTTTTTGTTATAAGCATCATGAGCTGGACCTCAATACTTCCCACTTATATGATCATTATCTTTTATCTTATAATTAAATCCACTTAAAGCTTCTCAGTATTCTTTTTGTATCTTTTTCTTTCCTGGATGGTCTTCTCCCATGCTTGCTTCCCATTCAATGACTTCTAATAATCTGTGCTTAGATTCTTTGAATTTTTGCAATGCTTCTGAAGATGGCTTAAGAAAAGCTTTCTTGCAAATCCAACATTTAGTTGCTTCATTATATGCTTTAAGATCTCCAGGTGCCATAATAATTTCGGCTGATGCAGATAATTCTTTTTGTATAGTTAAAAGCACCTCCTCAATTTTTATAACAAATCTTTCTAGTGCATCTGCTTCTCTATATAAATCATGACTCACAATCTCATATTTAAATGAACTGTCTATATGAACAATTACGCAGCTATAACTAGGGATGTGTAAGTCCAGTCCGGTCCGTCCGCGGTCCTGAAAACCGGTCCTTAAAACTGTGGACGGACCAGAC